CAGGAACTGGTGAGACCCTTATCCAGGTTGGATACTGCTGACTTCTCCTTGTATCCTTATGTGGAAGAGTAGAGAGAGGAAGCAAGCTCTCTCTCATCTCTCATAAGGGCACTAATCCCATTCATGAAGGCTCCACCCTCATGACCTCATCCAATCCTAATTATTTCCCAAAAGCCCCATCTCATAATACTATCACATTCATTCATTGGTTTGTGACATTTATTTGTACACAAGTTTTTATGTGGACATATGTTTTCATTTCTCTCTAGGTATATACCCATGAGTGGAATTGCTGGGTCATATGGTAACACTATATTTAACATTTTAAGGAACTGTCCAACTTTTTTCCAACGTGGCCACATCATTTTACACTCTGATCAGCAGTGTATGAGGATTCATATTTCTCTATAGCTTCACGAACACTTGCTATTGTTTGTCTTTTTCACTGTAGCCATCCATGGAGGTGTGACATGGTATTTCATTATGGTATTGGTTTGCATTTCCTAATGTAATGTGGAGCATTTTTTCATGTGCTTATTAGCAATTTGTATATTTTCAAATCCTTTGCCCATTCAAAAAATATGAATATGGCCCTGGCTGATGTGGCTCAGTTGGTTGAGCGTTGTCCCATGCACCAGGAAGTCACTGGTTCGATTCCTGGTCAAGTCACATGCTGGGGTCATGAGCTTGATCCCCAGTAGGGGGTGTGCAGGAAGCAGCCAATCTATGTCTCTCTTTCTCTCTCTCTCTCCATCTCCCCCCTCCCTCTCTTCCTCTTTCCCTCCTTCTCCCTTTCTCTCTCTCTTAAAAAAAAAAATCAGTAAAATCATATTAAAGTCCTGGCCAGTTTGGCTCAGTGATTAGAACATTGGCCCATGGACCAAACAGTCTTGGGTTCGATTCCCAGTCAAGGGCATGTACCAAGTTGCAGGTTTAATCCCCAGCCCTGGTCGGAGTTGCGTGAGAGACAACCAGTTGATGTGTCTCTCTCACATTGATGTTTCTTTCTCTCTTTCTCCCTCCCCATCCCGCTTCCTTCCCTTCCTCTCTTCAACTCTATCTAAAAAAAATATCAGTAGAAAAATATCCTTGGGTGAGGATTAACCAAAGGGGAAAAAAAGTGAATTGTTTTGGACCAGCAGTTCTACTTCTTGTTATCTCTCCACAAGAAATCCTCATGCATGTGCACAAAGAGACCTGTATGAGGATTTTTGTATAGCATTATTTGTAAAAGGAAAAACTTGGAAACAAATTGAATTACCATCAGGGGACTGGGTAAATATAGATCCTTTCAAAAGTGTCTTTCAGACTGTGACCCATGGCAGCTCATGAAATTTAATTTAGTAGGTTGCAATCAGAATTGTATAAAATGGAATAGAACAGAATAGAAAACATTTCAAGAATGAAGGGTAATGTGTATCCTTTTGCGGGTTGTGGGCAATACATGTTGGAAAAGAGTGCTTTGCAGGAGTTAAAAACATTGAGGGAGATCTATTTGTTCTATGATGGAAATATCTTTAGGACACATTAAGTCAGGAAAAGATACTGCAGAATAATATAAAGTTTGAGTGCATTTATTTTTAAGCTACAAAATAAAATTATGTCTCTGTGTATAAATAACGTAGAGAAATGTCTGGAAGGACTCATGTCTTGTTGGCAACAGGGGTTACCTCTTAGGAGGGGACTGAGATGGGAGCGAGAGGTAGTTGAAGAGAACTGGGCTTCTCTATTTTTGTATTTCTATATATCCTCTCTAAGGATAAATAACATAGAGTGACAAATTAATTGTTGAAAGGCAAACAAAAGTGCTCTTGTTGGTGTAATTGTTTTCTGAAAGTGACGCCCAGTCCTATCCACGGCTCTCATAACACTTTACCAATGAAACGCTTAGGCCTAGTTGGGTCTGTGGTATAAATGGACAATTGTTGCTGCCTTATACAGACACAGAAACATCGCTCCTATTGAGTGGCCACTCCTATTGAGAGCAAGATAGCAGGATGAGATGGTGAAGCTCAGGTGAGTGTCCATTCATTCACTCAACAAGTGGTTGACTAACAGCAGTCTTTTGGGGGGAGAGGGGGTGCTCTGCATTGTGGTCAGCGAGCACTGGAAATCCTCTGCCTTCATTCATTCGGACCTCACCACAGCCCCCTGGAGGAAGGTGTTAGGGGTGCCAGGGTGGTGTGGAGGTTAAGAGCATGAAGTTTTAAATCCAGCTAGCTTGGCTTTTGCAGTTTATTCACTTTTTCTGGGCCTCTGTTTTCTCATTTAAAAAAAAAGGCAACATTTAAAAACTGCCACCTACCACAGAAGGGCTGTGGTGAGGATTAAATGGGAGGCTGCCTGTCCTGTCCTGAGTGTGGTGCCTGCTCAGCATGGTGCTCAACAGGGTAGGCTTGTTATGGTCATGCTGGAATTTGCTGGATTTGGTCTCAGCTTTGCCACTAGGCTTTGTGATTTTGAGCAAATAAGTTCCTTCTCTTTTCTGGGCCTTCATCTCCCTGATCTGTACCATGATAAAACCGTATCTAAGCCCCCTTTTCTTGCTTGTTTAGTTTTGATTTCTCGTGAGGCTCCATGAAGCCCCAACCTTAGTTCTCGGGCCAAAAATGAGTGATCAGAACAGGAGGGAGCTACTTAGAGCTGGAAGTGCAGTTGGAACTGACTGGAGTGTGCAGGTGACAGATTCATAGCATTTTAAAAGTGGTAGGTACGCCCTGGCTAGGTGGCTCAGTTGTTTGGGCGTCATCCTGTCTACCAAACATTGCGGGTTTGATTCCCAGTCAGGGCACATACCTAGGTTGTGGGTTCAATCCCCTGTTGTGGAGCCTATGGGAGGCAAACTGATTGTTGTTTCTCTCTCACATCAATGTTTCTCTCTCTCCTCTTTCCTTCTTCCCTTCCTCTGTCTAAAATAAATAAAAAAAACAAAACAAGCAAAAACCCCCCCCACATATCCTGAGATGAGGATTATTGAAAAAAAAAGAATGGGTAGGTAAAGCCCAAGTGGAAGGAATTTCTGGGTTACATAGTGGTTTCTTCTAAGAGTTGGGATGTCATATGTTATTTTTCAAATTTAGTGTTTGCCTATTGGAAACTTATCTAAGACAAAATTCTTTGGCTTTGCCTACCTGGTAGTTTTCAACTGTGATTGATCTTGGATTGAGTAATTGATAGGCCATTTCAGCCAGTGGGAGTCATTCAGTGGCTGTGGTGGGGAGAACCCCATTGGGAATGTAGAGACTAGACTAGGCTGAGCTTGACCAGTAACCTGGTGGGCCTTTGGGCCACCCTCTGCAAAAAGTGGTGATTGAACTTGATTTTGATTAAGAAATTAAAGTTTAGAAAATAGAGTTTGTCCTAGTGATGCTTATTGGAAGAAATAGAGAATTATAGAAAATTAAAAAGAGGAAAATATCTCTCATTTCCACAAATGATGATTTTAAATATTTCCTTTATCTCATTCTGTATTTATAGCCTACCTCATTTCCAAGAAGGAGTAGAGGTGACTATAGTGTATATGTATATTTTTAAATAACTGAGTGCATATTCTACTTAAGTTTTTTTCAGTTAATTTTATAGCAGACATATTTTATGTAATCATTTTCTTTTTTTTGGTAATCATTTTCTTGATGTTGGAATTTTATATCCATTATTTTTGCTTGGCACTCATCTTGGAAGTGCATGCCAACTTGAAGTTTGGTCATCAGGCAAAATTGTCTTCAGAACAGAATGGATTTAGATTTAGAAGCTAAGGTTCCATCAACTCCTAGTTTACAGCTGGGGACAGGGACGCATCATTGGGGGTTAGACACAACAGGCCTGGATTCTGGACTTGGTTCTCTGCTTAACTACCATGCGACACTGGATAGGCCACTGAAATTACCTGGATCTCAGCACCTTCCTTTGAAAAATGCATGGACCCTCAGGGAATGGGGTAGCTCTCATGAGAGTAAAGCCTTTATAAATTATAAAGCACTGTGTTTCTAGGTGACAGTGATGTTTTGCTTTACACAATATGCATGTACCTTGCTGGGCACTGTGTCTTGTTTACTTGTCAGTTACTCCATGAAATGGCTGCTGTCCTCCTTTCACGGATGAAGGAAGCAAAGCCTGGAGGAGTATGTGGTAGAGCTCAGACTAGAACCTAGGGTATTGTCTTTGGTGGTAAACCACTCCTCTTATGATGCTTTAGTTTTCTGGCAATGTCTCCAGATCTTCACTGAACCTGTTTTAGTAATCCACCTGGTAAAACTTCTTAGATCAGTGAATTTTGCATTTTTATTTGATGTTCTTAAAGCCTGATTCTTAGAAGCTTAATTTTTTTTTTCTCACCGGACGTTTTTCCATTTTTTGTTCAGATAGAGTGGGAGGGAGAGAGAGAGAAAGAAATATCGACGTGAAAGGGACACATCGAGTGGCTGCCTCCCGCACGACCCAACCAGGGCCAGGGACAAACTATAACCAAGATACGTGCCCTTAGCGGGAACTGAACCCGGGTCTCTCTGGACCACAGACTGACGCTCTTAACCGCTGAGCCAAACCGGCCAGGGCATGAAAGCTTAATTTTTGGTTGTGATGGGTATATTAATAATAGTAATGACAAAAACAATAGTTGCCACTTATTGAGTGTTTACTGTGTACTGTGTTTATGTACGTTAACTCATTTAACCTTTACAGTGAGAGGGTGGTATTCCCATGTAACAGTTTAAGAGAGTGAGACTCAGAAACTTAAGTAGCTTATACTTGGCTCAGTGTCTCTGCACCTACCACATGTATGGCACATAGAGCACTTGATGTGTGCGTGATTAAATGAATGAATGACCAGCTTTACTGAAGGTCACTCAGCTACTGAATTCTTAACCTCTGCACTGCATGATTTCCAGGTGGCTCAGCTGTGTGCACCTCATTGGCTGTGGTCTGATGGTTGTCATCTGCAGTCTTAACAGTCTCTGTTGTTCAAACACTAACCCATCTTTTATGCACCTGTTCTCTCTTAGTGGCCTTGTTCCCAAGTTACCAGATGACCTGGAAGGCATCAGCCCCATTGCTGGTTTGGGAAATGGTGGTAAGTACACAAAGCTGGGCATTCTCTTGAGTAAGAACAAGGGGAGTAGACACCAGACCATGAGGCCCTGAGGCCTTGAGCCTGGGCTCTGATGTCTCTGGGGCCCAGAACTTACCCTGGCCTGGCTAGGTGTTCCCAGTAGGTGCTCAATATTTTATATATGTATTGATTTATTATTCACCTCCTTTCATAAACACAGGACTAGAGGAATTGATGACCGTTAGGCCCTATTTCATGAATTTTCCTACTTTTTAAATATGTTTTATTGATTTTTTTAGAGAGAGAGATAGAAACATCTATGTGAGAGAGAAACATTGATCAACTGCCTCCTGCATGCCCTCTACTGGGGATCGGGCCCAAAACCCAGGCATCTGCCCAGACCGGGAATTGAACTGGGACCTCTCAGTCCATAGGATGACGCTTAATCCACTGAGCCACACCAGCCAGGCTCTTTCTCTCTTTTTTTTAATCCTTACCCAAGAATATGTTTATCATTGATTCTAGAGAGAATAGAAGGGAGAGAGAGAGACACATACATTGATGTGAGAAAGAAACATTGATCGGTTGCCTCATGAATTCACCCTGACTGGGAATTGAACCTGCAACCTGGGTATGTGTCCTGACTAGGAATTGAACTTGTGATCCTTCAGTGCATGGGATAATGCCCTAACCACTGAGCTACACCGGCCAGGGTCGGTTTTCTTTCTTGCTATTAAGCTTGTAGGGATTCAATCTATGTTTGCTTAACTGAATGACTGCATGGAGGCTGGACGTTGAATTGGTGACTAGTCAGGCACGGAAGATCTGTTGGCTCCCACTGCTGAGTGGCTGGAGACCGAGGAGAGCTGCTGTCTGATCTTTTGTGTGCCAAGGCCTTCCTGGCAGGCTGCTGGATTCCATTTGCTGGTGGAGGCCCAGCATTCCTACACAGGCCTGCCCTTTGGAGACAAATGGCTGGTTAGACCGCAGGAGACGGTGCCGAGTAAATAAGCATCTATTGTGGTGAAGCTGGATTGTGAGGAGACTTTCTGCTTTGCAGTGTGCATTTTGTGAAGCACTCTTCATACTTTTTGTTTTTGAAAAAAGTGCAAGCTACCATAAGTATCTGTGGGAAGTGCTAATAATTTGACTTGTTGAAATATCTTGGAGATATTTTGACTTGTGTTTTATTCTCTTCCCCAAAGTGATGAGATATGTGCAAAAGGGAGACATTTTTAGAGCAGATCATATAAATGTCACAAGGTTTATTTCTGGAGAATACTTTAGTTTATAGGCCACCGTTAGGTTTTCCTTCAGAATATGTTAACTTTTAACACAAAATCCAACAATTCAGGCTTCTGCTTTTCCTGCCCACAGGCAATTAGAAACAGAAAATTGGTAGGCCTGCTCCTTAATTCAACCCATGTGTACATTTGCTTCATGCCAGGCTCTGGGCTAAGCCCTGGGATTCAGCCTTGAATAGGTTACGGTCAAGCCGAAAAGACAGAAAATTAAACAGAATTATGATGGTAAATCATACGATGAATGTAATGAGTGAAGAAGGGTAAGGTGTTGTGAGAGGGGTAAGAGGGAATTTACCATGGTGAATGGAGGAGGTGGGTTAGGTAAGAGTTTCCTAAGAAACTGATATTGCAGCCAAGACTTGAAGAATGGGTAGGACCTAGATAGAGACACAGGCACAGGCGACCCAGCATGGCCATTTCAGGAGCAGGGACACACATCTGTGTGTCCTGAGTCTGGCCCTGCCCAGCCCCTGAACATCTTTTCCACTGAATGGTTCAGAGCACCGTGCCCATTCCCACCTCTGGGCCTTTGACGGGACATTTCTTTTCCTTTTGCCCCCACAACTGCCTGCTGCCTCTTTAAGACTGAGTTTGAAGCCCGGCCAGCGTGGCTCAGTGGTTGAGCGTCGACCCATGCACCAAGAGGTCGCCGGTTCAATTCCTAGTCAGGGCACATGCCCAGGTTGTAGGCCCAATCCCCGGTGGGGGGGCATGCAGGAGGAGGCCAGTCTATGTTCTCTCTCATAGATGTTTCTCTCTCTCTCTCTCTCTCTCTCCCCCTCTCTTTTCCGCTCTCTCTAAACGCAGTAAAGAAAAAATATTTGGAGGAAAAAAAAAACAGATTGAGCTTGAAGCTCACTGCCTTCCCTGGCTCTCCTCAGGATGACTTAGATGCGTCTTTCTTTCTGAAAGTTACATATTTCTTTTCATTGATTCCTGTTAGCTACTTAAAAAATATCCAGAATTAGACCACTTCTGGTCACTTATACTTCTGCCACCCTGGTCTAAGCCACCCTGATCTCTGGCCTAGATTATCCCAGTATTAACTGATCTCCTTGTTCCTAAGTACCTTTCAGTCTGTTCTCAGTGAGGCAGCCAGAGGGAGCCTGTAGAAACCTGAGTCTGATCATGTTACTCCTTAGCTCAGAATCCTCTGTTGGCTCTCGGAGTCCTGAGAAGAGCCTGCAGGGCCATCCACAGTCTGTCTCCCAGTCCCTCGCTTACCTCCTCTCTGTCCCGTTTAGTCCACTGGTGTCATGGCTGGTCATCAGGCCCCCTAGACGTGCTCCCACCTCAGGCTTCTCCCTTTGCCCTTCTCCAGGTCTGCACAGATGTCACTTTCTCAGCGAGACCTCCCTTAATTTAACCACCTTACTTAAAATTGCAATCTTGGTCTTTTTTATCCTTATCCACTCTATTTTTTCCCACAGCATTTATCATATTTTAACATGCTGTGTAATTGCCCTATTATTTTGTTTATTGTCTGTCTCCTCTTTCTAGAATATCAGCTCTATATTTCTGTTATGTTTCCTGATATAGCCACATCCAGAATGATGCCTAGTGGCGAAGAGGTCCTCCATGCCTGTTTGTCGGAAGATGCTTTCATTCACTCAGCACGCATTTACTCAGCAGCTAAAAAGTGCCATGCGCTTTGTGCAGCATCCTAGTTTGTGTCCATCTCTGTCTTGCCCACTAGGTTGGGAACCTCTTTGGCTCAGCATCAGTGTCTCCTTCACTGTCGTTTCCCCAGCACCCTACACACAGTAGGGGTGTAAGAAAAGTTTGCTGAATTAAAGAAGCTGTGGACAAATTTGGATTTTGGAAGAGTCTTTAATCATTCCAAAGCAGGGATCAGCAGTTTCCAACCCAAAGCCTGCTTTTGAAAATAAGCTTTTTAAAAAAAAAAATGTTTTTATTGATTTTTTTTAGAGAGAGAGAGAGAAACATTGATGTGGATAGAAGCATCTATCGGCTGCCTCCTGCATGCCCCCTACCGGGGTGCAAGCCCGCAACCCGGACACGTGCCCTGACCAGGAATCAAACCAGATTGATGCTCAGTCCATTGAGCCACACCGGCTGGGATGAAAATAAGCTTTTATTGGAACACAGCTTTATTGGTTTATAATTGTCTGCGGCTGTTTTTGTGCTGCAACAAGAGTTAGTAATGTAACTGTCTTATATTTGTAACAGATTTTAGACTTTATGTATGGCCTACAAAGCCTAAAATATTTGTTGTCTGGTGCCTTAGAAAGTTGCCAGCCCTTGCTGTCAAGTCAGTTAGGCATGCTTTGTTTTAATTGCTGACAGGTGGGATGATATTCCTGTTCAGCAGAATATTTTTATACAAAGAGTGAGGAGGTACATATCAGGATGGTGCTGCTTTGCCACATGCCTAGTGCATTTTCTGAGTTCATCCTCTGACACATACATTATTACATTGGGACTAGTGTAAGTAATTTGTAAATACTTGAAATCTAATGGTTTAGAGCTTTCCCTGGACTCAGATCAGTAAATCACAACAGACAGAAAGTACCAGCAGAATATACTGTGGAAGCTATTCACGTTTTCTTCCCTGGCTGCTATATCCGAGTAGGGATGATGGGCGATTTGCATACCATGATGTTTTGTCTATTTCACCTCTTTATAGTGCTCCCAAAGGTGTCAGAAGAAACGGTGTCTCCCACCAGAGCACGGAACATGAAGGACTTTGAAAATGTAAGTAGAGATACCAAGTTACTGTCCCTGACAAATCATGCCTACTGCCGCTATCTGAGCAGACCCTGGAGGGAGCTGTATTTCTTGACAAGTGTCTAAGCTGGATAATGCCACAGTTTGGAGGAATGCCGTGTCTCGTGGGCATTCTCTGTGCAGCTGTTGCATACCTAGGCAGTTGGCCCTTTAATACGTAAACCAGGTATGGCTTCCAACAGGATCGGCAATTTCCAACTTGGGGGAGGGTGGTGTATTTCTGGTGTTCCAAACTTGAGGATATTACCATATTGCACAGTTGAGAGGAGCTTTCTTATAATGTCTTGTTTATGGTCCCCATTTAATCTTTGCTATAACTCTGTGAGGTATTTTGTATTATCCTCATTTTACAGATAAGGAATCATGTAGTACTTAAGTGGCAGAGGTAGGATTTGGATCCAGGTTTTTAATGACTTAGAAGCTATTATTCTTTTCACCACATTGGGGCGACTCCTTGCATTTTGTAGGGTTCATTTTTGTTGCTGTTGAATGAAACGCGAACAGCGTGGACCCAGCGCTGTGTGGTAATTGTCTGAGGATGGATTACGTGGTGATAGATTTGGTTCCTATGCTTAATGTCTTTTGGTACTGTGTCTTTCATTTGTTAGTAGAGGGCATTTGTTGTCAAGTAACAGGAAAATAAGGTTATTTTCCCAATTCCGAATCTCCTTAACAAGTTACCTGTTCAATGCTCTCATTTATCATGGGAAGAATTAGACCCTTCTTCATTTGTAACCAAATGAAACCCATACTATGCAAGATAGGGAGATATTTATCGGAGAGAAGATGAAGGATCAGAGAGAAGGACGTTCCACAATTGTTTCTCTCTCCCCAGTTGTCTTTACAGAACAGAGCAGTACTGTTTCTGGATTTAATTTAGAATACTCATTATTGCTAATAGTTATCTGCAAGCCACCAGTGACCAATTGAAGAAATGACTTGTCAGATCTCTAATGGAAACAAGTAATTTCTGAGCTTTGAGTTGTTATAATTTCAACTGTACAGCTTGATCTATGCTGTGGGGTCTGGAGCCGTAAACGGATGAGATTTGATTATTTCACGTTGTGTATAATTAAAATGTGCTCTACTATTAAATGGTTGTTGCTGTTTTTCATAAGAGTAATACTAGCTACTGCTTATGGAGCTCTCGCTCTGAGCTGGGCACTTATATGTTAGGCTCTTCATCTACATTACATTAATGTTAAAGCAGCTCTGTAAGATATAGTTATTTAATTTACAAAGGGCACAGTTTTGAGTTGTATTTCTAGATGGAAAACTTAATAGAATCTTAGAATTTTTATTTCACTTTTATTGTTTGCCATGTGACCTGGGAGGAATCAGTTGAATCCAGCCTTCTTTAATATGTGTAGGAGAAATTGAGGCCCAGAGGTGTGATGTGGCAAAGCTGTTCTCAGTGGAGCATAGCCTCTGGAGCCAGGCTGCCTGCTCATCCACCCCGTTGGGTGACCTTGGGCCAGTAACTTAACCTTTCTGTACGTTTCTTGTCTTGACAGCCGGCATGGTAATAGTTTCTATTTGGTAGTGCTGTCATGAAGATTAAAGGAATGAATGTGTGTGAAACACAGGTGCCTAACTGAGTTCATCCTATGTGTCAGCTGTTGCTCCTTCTTATTATTGGTATATTTATTATTGTGGTTTTTTCCTTCTGTGCATGTGATTTAAGTTTCCCTTTGCTCAGATGTGCTCTTGATGACCTAAATACTATTTTCTTAAAGGCGAGGGAGGGCCTTCCATGCCAATATGTTTTAGGATTTATGTGGTTTTTTTTTGACTGTGGTCTTTTGGCTGCTGTCAGGTTTTTATGGCATTAATATTTTTTACTGTAGCGTTTTCAAGAGCAGATTCTTCAGTTGAAATCGAAACACTGTTTTCAGTGTTTCCCTTTTAGGTCTTTATAAGTCACTGAAATTTTTCATCTGACCTGAGCTACCCAGTTCATGACTACTGTGTTGAGGTAGTCTGAACTTTCTGTGGGATGCTTATAGGAAATGGTCTTGGCATCTCATGCTAGTTTTAAAGTCAGTATGCATATTAAAGAGGAGGCTGGAATACTTTTGATTTAAAGGGAAAACTTATGATTCCTCTTCTTCTAATCTCAGATGATGGTATCCGAACATCAGGGTCTGTTAGCTAGCAGCTAGCAAGACATAGGCCTTGTTCTGTTTTTGCTCAGAGTTCATCTGTTCATCAATAAATATTTTTAGCCCTGGTGGTTTTGCTCAGCGGTTAGAGCGTCGGCCTGCAGACCAGAGAGGCCCGGGTTCGGTTCCCACTAAGGACATGTACCTGGTTGCAGTTCGTCCCTGGCCCTGGTTGGGGTCGTGTGGGTGGCAACCACTCGATGTATCTCTCACATTGATGTTTCTCTCTCTTTCTCCCTCTCTCCCTCCCTCTCTATCTGAAGATAAGTGCAAATGTCCTCAGGTGAGGATAAAATAAAAAATAAAATAAATATTTTCAGATATATACCCTGTGCCAGGTTATGCTAGGGACTGGGGAATTTGTAGTAGGTTAATACCGAGTATGTTTCCCTGCTAGACTCCCAGTCTACTTGAGGAGATGGAGAGGAAAACGGTACAGTGATAGAGATAAGGACAGGGCACTGTGGGGCACGGAGGAGGGGCCCTGAACCTGGCCTGGTGGATTCTGGAAGCGTCCCTGGAGGAGTTGTTCCTTGAGTTGATATTCGGGGACAAGGAGGGATTAGCCAAGGCACGAAGACTGGGAGAGCATCCCAGACAAAAGGACTCACATGGGCAGACCTAGAGAGAGGCATGATAGGCTGTGATGAATTTAGAGAACTCTAAGTTCCCTTTGGCTGGAAGGAGGCTGTATGAGGGGGCCGGAGAGAAGCTTGGCCGCTGAAGCAGGCAGGGGTCAGATCCTGTGTATTACATTGCTCTGTCTGATTTTGTCCTGAAGATGAAGGGGGGAACCAGTGATGGATTGATCTGGGAGGGAAATGACTAAATTACACTTTCAGATCACCCAGGCTGGTGACTGCAAGGAGGGAGCAAGGCGGGGGCAGTGTGATCAGTTAAAAGGCTGCTGTGTGTGGTCTTGTGGAGAAGGGGGTGATGTTGGAGCTAAGGGATGGGGTCATGAAATGTTTAGAAGAAAGTCAGAATTTCAGAGCCAGAGAAATGCCAGGAGTCCCTTCATTTGACACCGGACTCTGAAGCCCAGAAATGAGAGGGACTTCTTCAGGCTTTGAACTCAGGTCTCCTGGCCCAGGAAGTCTTTCTACTCCACTCAGCTATTCTGCAAGGCCTCACTCGGACATATGAAAACCACATGCCTTCTTTTGGGTCTTTAAACTGGTAATCCATTGCCTAGCTACCTTCATTAGCTGAAGGTATAACCACTTCTATGGCCGACCTATGGTAGGAAGTTGGCAAATCAGTTTGGTCTGCAGTGGGGGCCTGTCTTACTGGACCCAGAATCTGGTTCAGCATATCCAGTTAGTCCGATAGCAATCTTTATTCATTTATAGAAGAGTTAAATCTGGCTTTTCCTGTGACCTTCCTGACAAGGAATGACGGGTAGCTTTCTACCTCCATTAATACTATTGATGGGTAGTATTATTTAATGACTGTCTAAAGTTCATGAAGAGATTAAAAGGGATGGATTGAACCACAATTTGCATAATCTTTTATTGTGGGACATTCCAGATTGTTTCTAATATTTCGCTATTACAAACAAAGCTGTGATGAATGTTTCTGTGCACATGTCCTTTTGCAGTTATGTGATTATTTTCTCAGGGTAAAGTCTGCTGCTCGTGTCTCATACCCAGTTGCCCTGCGGTGCTGGTGTTCTTGTTCTTTTTGTTGAAAATTCTTGGTTTCAGCTGAGACAGTTGGTCAAATTTAGTGTTTTATCTGAGGATGACTGGGAGGTCACATCTTCAAATTTGCTCTGTAACCTCTATATTACGAGTTACTTACTATTACCAGGGAATGATTCCCTTCACCCTCCCCACCCCTGCCCCATTTGTCATAAAAAATAAAACCAAACATATTCCTCTTGAGCCCATTAATTCATTTTGGGAAAACTTATTCTCAGGAAACAACTCAGTAGAAGGAAAAAGCTCTGTGTATGAAGGTGTCTATTGCTACATTGTATATAATTGAAAAATTGGGAACAAAGGAATTATATTTTACATGTGTCATTTCCGGGGCTTCCCAAATAAGCTTGTGAGGAAGGTATTTCACAGATGAGGAAGCTGAGGTTGGAGCGATTAAATGACTTGCCCATGAGGTTGGTATGATTGAGAAACTCAAAGCGGGCAAAACTCAAGCCCGGTCTTTTTGATTATAAAGCCCGAATGCTTTCCACTAGGTCACACTGACTGCACAGATGCCCAGTAGAGGAATGTGATATAATTGACAGTGAATCAGTTCAGTAGAATTGAGTGCAATCATTTCAAATAATAATTCTATGTAATTCTGCAACAACAATTTAAGAAATTAGGGGAAAGCAATGGAATATCCAAATTCACTTATGTTATAATTTTATTTAAAATGTATATTCATGAGTGAAAGCTGAAAAGAATATAACAGGAGTTGATTTCATAAGTTGATTTCATTGGATTCCAAGTACTGTTTCGGGTTCAGTTTTAAAATTCTGTTATTGCTACAGTACTGTTGTTGCTACTACTTATTGTTAATAAGGAGATGTTTGCCTGGAAACAGTTTTCCCGATGGCTTGAGGACACAAGGGAGAGTATTGGAGTCAGAAATGAATTCCAAAGTGTCCTCCTCATTTTACTAACCTCACTTGGCTGCTGCTGGCAGAATCATCATATATGCGGAGTGTTCACCAGAGAGGAACTCTGGACAGGAAGAGTTCATGGTTTTGTGATGTTCCGGTGAGTGGTCTAACTGTTTTTGGATTTTCAAAAATTGATGGTGGCCCAAAGATCTGTTTAATGAGGACTTGAGTGGAAG